CTCTTTGTTTCTAGGTTAAATAATTTTTTTGTATTCAATTGCATTATACAGAATTAATGAAACCCTAGCCTCCTTTTCCTTTTCTTTATTTCTTTGGACTGTTTAACAAGTAGGACAACAAAGTTTGGCTCTTACTAAATCAAAAACCCAATCTTCCTCGGGCACAACCTTTAGATTGAAAGAAGAAACTATTTATAAGGTCAAGAACCCTCCGAGTTCGAGTTGTGATTTGCTATCCAAAATTGGCTGTTCAATTTGTTGTCCATCCAATGATTCATTGACATATCACTTTTAATTAACATGTCCAATTTTTTTTTCTCACTGCCGCTTTTGCTTAAAATTAGGTGTAAAATGATGGGTCCATAAATCATCAGGTGAACGACATGTTGGAAAGTAAAATCTCAGCTCTCCGATTTCTGCATAAACCACATTCGTGTATAGAAAAGTGACTCCTCAAATACACCAAATTCATTTCAGTTTTCAACACATCAATGAATCTATCAAAACAAACCGAAAAGACACAACTTTTGTTGCAGAGACATGCCTCTTTAGACCTTTATTTTTCAATAAGACATGTATTTAGACATACATTTTCATTAAGTTGTGTCTTTTGATTCACAAATTTTGGACCACTATATATTGACTCCATATGATTGAAATTAATTTATTCAATTCATAAATTGCATATCATATTGATGCGTATTCATTTGTTCATTTACCTTGAATATAATTTCATAAAAGAGAGTTCAAAACATTCGTAAGGTTCGTTGATCTATGTAATTTGGAGTGTTCCTATTGCGGAACGTGATCCTTGTATTTTGGAAGACAAATGTCAAAAAATCGTTAGCGCCCGTGCGATGCATAATTGTTTTATCGACCAAATTCATAATCATGTATTTCTCATTTCTACTTTTTCGTATTCGATTTCAATAAGTTGAAATTTTGTTCGATTTCATGCTCGTGAAAAATATGTTATTAGAATATAATTTATGCACGTTTATATTTTCCTAACAATCTTAAGAGGATTATTTATGTGCATATTATATTCTGTCATGATAAGGAACCCATTTACTGATTTGTGAATTCTGTTCTTGAAATACGGATGCTTAATGCATGTAGTTTCACGATAATTAATCTCCTTAGATTGGATCAAATTGTTTAAACTTTAATATTGTATACAATATGTGCTATCTGTTTTGCATATATAAGTGGAAAGTTGGATCCATTATCCTGTTTAGAATTAAACATGAGACAGCACATTTTCTTGACTGGCAATACATATTACCAATGGTTGAGATTCTTTCATATATTGACTATGCATAATTTTATGTTCATTTATTATGTAAGCGAACTAACATTCTATGTTGAAAGTTGTGTAAATGTTTGTTCCTTGGGTTCAATTCACCAATGGTCAATTTTATATTTAGTGTCATTATGACCACTCAATTTGATTTTGTTTCATCGTGACCATCAAACTTTATTATACCTAGTGTCACCATGACCACCCAATTTCATATAATATTTCACCATGATCATTCAACTTCTTTTCACCATTTTCGTTAATTTTAAAAGGAGTAAAACGGTAATTTTGCATTTTATGTGTATATCTATATATATTTTAAAATAAAAAATGATATGTATTATACAAAGTTACCCTTTGCCCCATTTTAAAATTAATGAAAACGATGAAAAGAAATTGAGTGGTCATGATAAAATGTAATATGAAATTAGGTGGACATGGTGAAATATTGTATGAAATTGGGTGGTCATGATAAAATAAAATCAGTGCCTATGATAACGTTAAATATAAAATTGAGTTCATGGTTTTCAATAACTTTATCTAATGGAATATAATTTATGCACGTCAAATTTTCCCAACTTTCTTGATTGCAGAATACACGACAATATATAAATACAAACCTTTA